TTTATCCCATCCTTCATCACAGACAGCTCCCCAGACTCCATCAGTACATATTTCAATTCTTCCTTCATTCTCAATGATACCATCAACTAGTCTAATATCACCATTCGTACACATACCAGGATCTGTAATTAAAGTGTTATAATTGGACTCACAAATATTTGGACTTACTGAAACATTTTATTGCTAAAACTTCACTGCACCATTTGAGACATTTTGATGCATGAATCTTGCAGTTTGATAAGGAAGACTCTGTACCAGCACATGTGATATTTTCAAATAGGCTGAAGTTCTGAGATATTTCAGTGGGAATAATTGAAGCAGCTTGGTAAAAAAAACTTTAAAAACATTAAAAACTCTTATGTAATTTTTACCTGTGTAGTTAGTGAATCCAAGCTGTTTACAGACAACAGAAGCAGTCACAGGGTCCAGCTTACAGAATGGTGACCAGTATCCATTATAACAATACTCTAATCTACCAGTCCCTCTCTCCTCACTACCTTCCAATCTGATAGTACCATTAGACTGACACTGTAATGCTACAGTATTGATCTCAATGCAGCCCCTAGGCCTTGTTCCAACATTATCATCATCGTCAGCACCATCATCATCTATACATTTAACCCCAGCTACATCATCAGTGTTGAGAGCCAGTTTTCCATTTTTAAGTGAGAGTATGATCTTAGAGCAGTGCATAATACTAGTCTCTTGGCCAAAACATGACACATGCTTAAAATGTAGTGGTAAGTTTGTCTTGCCAAAATGTGATCCAATTACAGGTTTGGCAGCTATAAAAATGAAACACATGTGTATGCATCAATCAATTAATTAGTCATACTTTTATTCTTGTATCCAAGTGTATTACAGACAACTCTAGCATCTCCATTGCTCCATGCAGTATCTGATATTAAGCCCCACATGTTATTATAACAGACAAGAACAGTTCCTTCACTAGGGCCATTGCTGCCTCTTAGTTTCACCTGACCATTGCTGCAAGCTGTGAACATTCATGATGCAAATCATTTTAAATGAGAAGCCTGACTTACAGTCTTTGCACATCACTCCAGCTGATTTTTGCTGTGTGCAATTGAAGTTTGGTTGTATACTCTTGCTACATTGTTGAATGCCAGTCTCGAATCCAGAGCAACCAATATTACTTAATATAATCGGACCTCCAGTCTCACCAAAATAAGCACCATAGAATGTGGTTGGATCTATATCATTGAATCATTAAATTGCTTCATTAAATTTGTCTTACTTGGTCCCCTGTATCCCAGTCCTTTACAGAATACCAAAGCATCAGATGTACCCCAACTAGTTTGACAGATACCACCCCATACTCCATTGAGACATATTTCAGCTCTACCTTCTTGCTCTATTGTACCATTGGCCAATCTGATCTCACCATCATTGGAACATGAACCAGTATCTATTATATACATTTAATAATA